AGGTTTTTTGTGAAAACCCCTTGCCTACCGGGCACTTTTACCCCCTTCCTGCCCAGACCAATTTTCAGCTTTCACTGCTCTCATACTTTGAATGGCAATTGTGTGATCGTGCAACACTGTACCCAAACAAAATTTTTAGCATTTTGTGAGACAAATAGAGCTTTCTTTTGCTGGTATTTAATCACCACTGGAGGTTTTATTTTTTGCTGAACAAACAAAAAAAACCAACATTTTTGAAAAAAAAAGTTTCTTAGTTTCTGTTATAAAATTTTGTAAATAAGTAATTTTTCTCCTTCACTGATGGGCACTGATAGGCTGCACTGATGAGTCACTGATGGGCTCTGATAGGCTGCACTGATAGGCAGCACTGTTAGGCAGCACTGATGGACACTGTTAGGTGGCACTGTGATGCGTCACTGATAGGCAGCACTGATGGCCACTGTTAGGCGACACTGATGGGCAGCACTGTCACCAAAATTGAAAAAAAATGGTGTGGGGGTCACCCCCAAAACCCCGCCCCTTACATATTTAAGAACTGTCAAACCACCGGAGCAGGCAGACAGTTGGGAGCCATTGTTGGAAGCAGAGCCTTTTTTTTTTATTCTTTTTTCAGGTCAGCGGTGTCATGATTGATGTTGGATCTACTGCAGGGGGCATTCTTTTAGTTTTTTCTTTTAATAAAGGACTTGTCAAAGACCGTGTCCTGTCTTTTTTTCACACTACATTTTTTGTTTTTTGTGAATGAGTAGGAGGACCATGTACCCCATACTCATTCACATGGGGGGGTCCGGGATCTGGGGGCCCCCTTGTTAAAGGAAGGGGGATTCCAGATTCCGTAAGCCCTCTGTCCACAGACCCCCACAACCACTGGCCAGGGTTGTGGGGAAGAGGCCCTTGTCCCTATCAACATGGGGACAAGGTGCTTTGGGGGGGGAGCACCTGCTGCCCAAAAGCACCCCCCAATGTTAAGGGCATGTGGCCTGGTATGGTTCAGGAGGGGGGGGAGCTCGCTCGTCCCCCCCCCCTTTCCTGACCTTCCGGGCTGCATGCTCGGATAAGGGTCTGGTATGGATTTGGGGGGGGGGGGGGGGCCATGCCATTTTTGTTTTAATTTTGCTGTGGGAGTTCTCCTCAAGATCCATACCAGACCCGAAGGGCTTGGTATGGATGGGAGGGGGGACTCCACGCCATTTTTTTAAATTTATTATGGTGCTGGTTTTTAAATGTAATTGGTTTTTAAATGTAATTACCGCTTCTTCTTTTTTTTTTCTTCACTATAGCTTAGAGATTCAGCTGTCACTTTCCCCCCAGCTAAAAGAAAGAAAGTTTCCTTTAATTTATTTCCCCGAGTTAAAGGAAACTTGGTTTCTTTTAATAAACTAAAAGGAAACATTGTTTCTTTTAACTCCGGGGAAAGTGACAGCTAATTCTGTGAGCTATAGTGAAGAAAAAAAAGAAGCCGGCAATTGCATTTAAAAATCGGCACCAACATACACTTCGTATTGCAAAAAAAAAATTAATAAACCGAGGTATTATTTTCAATGGATTTTCATTCGTAAACCGAAAATTACGTTAACCGAGGCATTTGTAAACTGAGGTACACCTGTACATTCGCAAGCTGCAGAGCTACTTCATGGCACCCCCAGTATTATCTGCAGTGTTAACTATAAATTTTGAGAACCTCCATAGTAGGAGCACATACTATATAATAATGGAAAGATTGAGGGCAGGTATGCCTGGAGGGAGCCACCCTTCCTTCAAGGCATAGGGGCACACTGAACATATAGCATATAGCACAATGGCAGCAAAGGTGTCCAGTGCTTCCCCTCACAAATTTACCAATGGTGCAAACAAATGATAACTGCCCCAACCTATACTGGTCTTTGTAGCAACCTGGGTGATGAGCAGGGTGCCATGGAATGATGAGGTTGTATGTATGTTAATAGGGAGTTCAATCATGGTATTTTAATGGGCTACACTCTGCTTCTAGGCTGTTAACTATCTTGACAAATGAATCCTGGTCGTGGGATTTTGCTGAAATTTGCAGGATTACCTTCCTTGCTTCTCCCACTAGGGCATTAATGGCTCGTTCTGCCTGCTGAGCGGGTGGGATCCCATTTAACTGGTTAACCCCTAGACTCTTCTGACCCAATCACGCAAGTCTTGACCTGGTCCTATGTACTTGGATAATTCTTTCAGCAGGTATCCTGACAGGAATAGAAACATCTCCTGTGCTCAGGGACTCAGATCAAGGGTGGGTAGATGGATAAACCACTCAGGAAGCTTGTCCACCAATGGTTCAAAGGTTGTGCAGCTCTTAATAAGGCTAGGGAGGCCCGACCAGTACTGAAGAGTGAAAACAAACAGAAAGCACACTAACCTTGCGCATTACCTCAATAAAAAGCTTTGATTTTATTAAAATGCGATGTATACTCACAAACAAAGCAGTGTAACAGAGCTCTGAGGACGAAGGGGCCCCCCTTTGAAACACGTCAGGTGAACTTTGAGAGTCTCCCCTCTTGATGTGATTTGCACTGGTCTTGCACTTCAATATTCCTTTTAAGATTTTATACGCCTGTTATACTGCTTTGTTTGTGAGCATACATCGCATTTTAATAAAATCACAGTTTTGTATTGAGGTAATGCGCAAGGTTGCTGCACTTTCTTTTTGTTTTCACTCTGCAATCCTGACAGGAATACGGGAGTCATTATTGCAGGGATGAAAAGTTGCCTGCTTCCCGCTGGAGTTGTACTACCAGGCGCCACTGTCATACCATTCCATCACTATTGTCTGACAAGGATGATCCTGTTTGTAGATGTCAGGTTTAACAGAATAGGCAATCGGCCAAATGATCAGATGGGAAATCAATATAATTTGCAGCTTGCTAAAAGGGGGTAAAGTTTAGCAGTAATGCAAAATAGGTTTAGGATGTCAAAGCTGCACAAATTTGGAATCTTTGCTACAATATCTCTGGGGCTCAGTCAGGAAAATGTTGTGGCTACACAGCATAGTCACTGAAAGGCTCTATAACAGCACAGAGTCTAGCTGAGAATCTTCACTTTTGAAAGTGGGTTTGCCTCTCACTTGGCTGAGACCACTTGCCCAGCTACCACTGCCTCATCAGGTGTAGCCTCTCTGAGCTCTTGAGGGAAAGATGTTGAGGAGCTTATCTATCCTAACTGTGTCCAGGAATCAAGGGAGTTTTGGAAATTTAATTAAAGGGCCTGTATATAAACATGGTGAGTAGATGGGCACTCTGCAACACCTCGCATTCTTATCAATTGATAACCTGTAGAAGAAGATAAACTAGTGGAGACATTTCATTAAACATAGACTATACCTATTCTAGAGAATACACAAGAACATACTGTAAGTTTAGTTGAATCAGTTTTACATGTGTATAAATGCATTTTACATGTAATATATTTGTGCCAAGCAAACTAACCAAAGATATGTAAACTTGCTGTCACTTGAAACATTGGTAAATGCATTGGACATGTGTAACGCCCTCTAGTGTCAGTTTTATTGTGTGCATAGTTAGAGGCTTTCTAGAAGCCTGGGTATGGGTCAGCCTGGGAGTGGGTCAACGAGGTTACTTCAGGTATAGCTGGAGGGCTCTGCAGGTCAGTTCCCTGATACCTCCCCCTGCTCTAGAAACTTGGAGAAGTTTCTAGAAGCAGTGGGCGGGGGTGAGGAGGGGCTGATCTGCATACTTAGGGGAATCTGGGCAATTCCCAGGCAGGAGGCCTGGCATGGTTGCTAGGTCAATCCTTAAATATGAGAGAGCCTGGTCAGCAAGGGAGTCGAGTAGGAGTCGGAATGAAGAAGTACTGCTGAGCATGGGAAGGGGGGGGGTCTGCTTACAGGTTGAAGCTAGACTGAAGGACCTCCACTGTAAGACAGTCTACTGGGGAAAGACAGCCTGGCAGCAGGGAAGGAGCCAGCTCAGAGTAAGGCCTGAAAGCAGATTTAATCTTTAAAGCTACAGGAACATACTCAGTGTGAGTACTTATACACTCCCTGGGGCAAAGAAAGGAGAGGGTGGTCTGGTGCAATACCCAACTAGTTCTCCCTGGATCTACATTCTTTGTGTGTCTCGGAATCCCTTGCCCTGGGATACTCTCAAGACAGCCAGGTGGATGAGGAGATTTTCATCTGGGTCTGAGGAGGTTCATTTAAGGAGACCAAGTGCTCCTTGACTGTGTGCTAATGTGTCAGAAGGGAAGTGCCAGTTTTGAAGGAGTTGGGAGCCTAGGATCCATTTTGTGCTGTTTATTGGATTCTTGCCATTTTGCTAAGAAGTCATCCTCCAAGTTGTTCAGTTCTATTGGGCATCCCATGTACCCCTAGTCCCCGTCCAAGTTGTTAAACCCTAATAAAACAACAAAAAACAAGGTCATGGACTGTTTACTGACTTTGCATGAAAGTGTGGAAAATGTGTGTTGCCTGCTTATGCAGAACTTAGGGGGACCCAAAAACTCAGCGGCCCTCAAGAGGGTAGCGCTACTCATGCAAGAATGGAGTTTTTAATGAAGTAAACCGCCCTATAATGTGTATACTGCACTTTAATGTGTGTTGCTATATGAATTAGGTATGAACTAACTCAAGGCTTCTTCTCTGCAAACCATGTATAGATTGTTCAGTAATGCTTCTAATAATGATCTGTATTTCTATTTCTACTGATCTGCATTTCTAACGTTTTAAAATACCTAATACTATTCATGTGTGTCAAGAAGGTAGCGACTGTATATTGCTTTTGTTTTGTCTATAAATACATGCTTCTTAGATTCAGAATTGTATCACACCTGATGGGGAAATCTTAACATTTTTCCAAAGCTTGCATTTTTAATACATTGAGTTGGCCAATAAATGGTTCCACTTAAGCGCCAAACTTTCTGATTTTACAGATGGATAACATTATAAAACACAGTATAATTCTGTGCTGCGAAAGTTATTTTAAATATATTATATATATTTCTATACATTTATTGTTATTTACCCTTAAAATGTTACAAAACCCATAAATGCAGTAAAGCATGCTTGTTATACTGACTGTGGAACCTAAGGGGTTAATCCTCTTCATTACATAAAAATGCTGCTTGATCCTGACTTCTCTGATCATCCCCTTCTTCCAGTGTCCCCCTCTTATCTCCTGATAAGACATATCGTGTGCAGATACTCTGCACATGCTCAGTTTTTTGTGTATTGGTAGAGAGTGCATGTGATCAGCAAAGGGCCTATCAGCACTGTCCAAACAGAGGTCAGGGGTCCTGCAGCCTCCTAGAGCAGGAAGAAAACCCCTCTACAAGCTTTAACCAGTGCTCTGCTGGACACATAGAAATCACAAGACGACTCTGCTGATGAGAAAAGCTATTTAGCAGTTTGTTTTACTAAAATAATTGCACTTCCATGTTCTGTGTAGTGTGGGAGACCAGATATAGTGAATGCAGGGTCCTGGGTTCAGTAACACTTTAAGTCCTAATGCAAGACCGTGGGTTAGCCCAGAGTTATATTAATTTATTAAAAATTCCACGATCTATAAGTGGCTTATGATGTGACATTTATCTTGTAATCTTTCATGATCCATTACTTTATCCTCTTGCAATTTCAGGTCAAATGTGAATGCACTTCAGAGTAACTTAATTTTTAGCAGAAGTTGATACACTTACAGGCTGTAAGTGGTTCTACACATCATAATGATGAAATCAGACAGATTTACAAGCAAATGTCATTATTACATACAGTCAGCCATAGAAAATCTATTATGGATTCAATAAAGGTAGATTGTAAATTAAAAAAAATTAAAATTTAGAATTGCTCTTAAGACTTTCATTGAGGTGTATTCATTTTTTCAACATGGTCTTGAATGAATTTGTTATTAGTTTGAATTTGAATTAGTTGTGTGTGCAAATTAACAAATCTTGCTTGCAATCAATATCCACATTTGTGGGAGTATTTTGTAGCGTAGTGTCCCATAGAAAATGTTGATTCTGAAAGGAAAGGAAAGGTTTTCTGACAAATCTGTTGGGGTGTACTCATTTATGCTGATCACTGTATATATACATGACAGTATTCCATGTAGAAGTGAAGTGTTGGCTCTCCCTAGGATGGGAAGTGATGACATTAGCCCAGGACCCCGGGCTACCAGCAGTCTCTGATCGGAGGATCGGTCCATACATTTCCGGTACACACACTGGCACACACAATCCTCCAGCTGTAACAGGGAGCCAGCTAGTGACTGAATGGGTCGTATCCAGTGTTGGCTTCACCTTCTTCTACTCATCTGTAGCCAATCAATAGGGTGTGCTCTGGTTGCAGGGTTAAGATTATGTGAGAGGGATGATCGAGGCCCGATGTGTATGGGAGGGAAGCAGTGTAATGCTGGGAGGCCACCTGTCCTCAATGAGAGCCACAGCCTGGAATCTGCACCCTGGAAGGAGCCATCAGAGGTGAGCCAAGCCTAGGAGCACAGCAGTTCTTGAAGGTGACAGGAAGAGGAAGGGGGCAGGCAATGGTCGCAGTGAGGGAAGTGGATGCTGACTGATTGTGTGGGACGCCACCACATCATCAATGATCCTTCAGTTAACGGGAGAGGTGACGGAGGGGTAGAAGAAAGGACAGTCGAAGATGCTGGGTGTCTGGGGCCAGTGTAGCAATGCCTTACAGTGTTCCTCTCAGACTTGGTCCCTTACTGTAAGCCGGCTGGTGGCTGCTCATCACTGAAATGTTCTAACTCTGTCTCTTTTTTTTTTGTTTGTTTCTCTTTCTGATTACTTAACTTATATATATTTTGTCTTAGTATTGGTGCTGGTGGCATCTTATGGCACTTATTTTTGCAAATCAAAAGAAATATAGCAGATTCATTTTTGGTGTCTAAATATTTTTTACTGTTTTAAAAATGTTTTTGGTTTTTTTTTTGGGTGGGGGTGCAAGTAGCTGGTCTTGCCTGGGGCGCAAAATAATCTAGCACTGGCCCTGTGTGCAACTAGAGGTGGAAGAAAAGTAAATGCACTCCTTCAAGTGCCTCCGAACTTTTGTCAGTATGATCTTACTCACTGGGGCTCTGGAGCAGTTGCAAAGCTTTGCTATGATGATGGAAAAGAAAGTAATATCAGAAAGTAAATTAAAAAAGATCAGAGCTTTAATGGATAGGTTTACCATTAGGAATATGTTACATGTTATAGCACATGTTCTCCTCATCCCCCTCACCCCTTCCCCTGTGGCAGTGCACACACAGAAGAAAAAACTGATTCCTGCATCCACACAAGGGATGTGGATACAAGAATCCCCCCCCCACCAGGACATTGTATTCTGACAGCAGGGACTCTCCACTGTCAGAATACACTGATCAGCGTTGCAGCCAAGTGGCTGCAAGCTGCTGATTAAACAAGGTTTTCCAGGAGTCAGGTTTTTGGCAGAAGTCGATCTAACAATCATCTTTGGTCAAACTGGAAGGGCTAAACAGATTAAAACTCAGCCCGTGTCTTCTGAACCAGGCAAATTTCAATCTGTGTGTACCCAGATTTACAGTGTTCTTCACAAACCCTTTTAGGGTCTCTATATTTTCAAAATGTATGTTGTGGTGAATTTGTGATAGTCCTTCCATAGACTATTAATTGATTGAGCAGTTCAGTCACCATATTCACTCTCAGGTTTTTTCCTTTTTTTTTTAATATTGTTTGCAACTTGTTGTTAGAACAGTAGTCAATATTCTGAGCAACATTAATCACTTGCCCTCCAGAGGATTTACCCCCTACCTGACCAGGCCATTTTTTGCAATACGTCACTGCATTATTTTAACTGACAATTATGCGGTCATGCAAAGTAGTACATACATGATATTTATGTCCTTATTTTCCCACAAATAGAGAATTATTTTGGTGGTATTTGATCACCTTTGCATTTTTTATTTTTCGCGCTATAAACAAAAAAAGACCGACAATTTTGAAAAAAAAAAAGTAAAAAAATATTTTTTACTTTTTGCTATAAAACTTATCCCATAAAAAAAAATTAAAAAATCAAATTTCTTCATAAATTTAGGCCAAAATGCTACATGTCTTTGCTCCAAAAAATCCCAATACATGTAAATTAATTGGTTTACATGAAAGTTATGATGTCTACAAATGGCGGTATATATACTGGAATTTTTTTTTTTATACTAGTAATGGCGGCAATCAGTGACTTATAGCAGGACTGCGGTGGGCAATCTTACACTGGGTGTGAACTGACTAATTGCAACTGACATCCAAAAGACACTAATACAGCGATCAGTGCTAATAAAAAGCACTGACACTGTACTAATGACACTGGGCAGGAAGGGGTTAACATCTGGGGCGATCAAAGGGTTAAATGTGTGATGGCGAAGAATCTCTGGCCAAGACCCGGTGATTGACATCCGTAGCCACAAATGGTGGCGCGCCCCCTACCTAGAAATGCAAATCACGTGTACATATTTATATGTGATTTTGCACAGCCCTCCCGCCCTGTAGCAGTAGTTCTACTATAGGGCAGCAGGAAAGTGGTTAAAATAGAAATGTCCCCACCTTCATCTTTCCCCTTCTTTTAGCACCCTCTTTACCCCTTTACCCCTCTGTCCAAACCCTAACTGTTGACAAACCCTGAACTCTCCTTTCTTCAGATACTCCCAGATCACCTGAAAATACCTTACTCAACTCCATTTCTTTGCTGTACTCCACTTTACTCTTAGCGCCCACTTTTTATGCTTTCGATTGGTCTTGGCAAGCACACAACCATATTCCTTCAAAATACAAATATAAAAATGCCATATGCTAGCCATAGTTACATAGTTAGTCTTGTTGAAAAAAAGATACAAGTCCATCTAGTTCAATCATTTAATTAAAAAAAATTCACACACACAAATAGAAAACCTCCATACAGCGGGTAAAATAAGTATTGAACACATCACCATTTTTCTCAGTAAATATATTTCTAAAGGTGCTATTGACATGAAAAACCACATGTCAGAAACAATCCATGCATACAAAGAAAAAAACAAAACAAATAAGTTCAGAAATTAAGTTATGTGTAATAAAATTGAATGACACAATGAGAAAAGTATTGCACACATGAAGAAAGGGAGGCTCAAAAAGGCATGCAAAGCCAAGACACCACCTGAAATCTATCAGTAATTAGAAAGCAATTCTGTTCCTTGTCAGTGCAAATTAATATCAGCTGGTTCAGTTTCAACTGATGGCCTATAAAAAGGTGTCTCATTACTAAAGTGTCACACAAGAAACATCTCATGATGAGTAAAAGCAAAGAGCTCTCTCAAGAGCCGCAAAACATACTGTTTGCATTGGTTACAGAAGGATTTCTAAACTTCTGAATGTTCCAGTGAGTACTGTTGGGGCCATATTCTGGAAGAGGAAAGAACATCATTTCACCATAAACTGATCATGACCAGGTGCTCCGTGCAAGATTTCTAACAGAGGAGTGAAAATAATTATCAGAAGAGTTGTCTGAGCTTCAGAAAGACCTGGAGTTAGCAGGTACAAGTGTTTCAAAGAAAACCATAAGTAATGTGTTAATGAGGAGGTGGAAACTTAGCTCCTTGCACAGATTGAAAGGGCTGGGACAGTGATAATAATGGGGGATTTTAACTACCCCGAAATTGAAGGGAGTAATGGTACTGCAGGAACAGTTAAAGGGCAAACATTTTTAAACCTACTACAAGACAATTTTATGGTACAGTTCAGAGGCCCCTACTAGGAATGATGCTCTGCTGGACCTGGTAATCTCAAACCATGCAGAGCTTATTACGCAAATGTCCATATAAAAGAACATCTGGGTAGCAGTGACCATAACATGATTTCATTTATTGTTAGCTGTAAAACAGCAAGCACATACGAGGAAAAAAGAAATGCTCAATTTCAAGAGAGCTAATTCTCCAAGGCTGAGAGCTGCTCTCCAAGACTTAGACTGGGAGGGAATATTGGCATTGATGAACACAGCACAGAAATGGGAGTTCTTCAAAAAGACTGTATGCAAACACACTGCAAAATATATTCCCATGGGCAACAAGTTTAAAAGACTAAAAAGCAAACCAATGTGGCTTACAGCCAAAGTTAAAAAGCCTATAGATAATAAGAAAAGAGCTTTTATTCAATATAAAAATGAAGGAACACTATCGTCATTTAAACATTACAAAGAATATAACAGAATATGCAAAAAGGAAATAAAGGCCGCAAAAATTGAAAACGAATGACAGATTGCAAAAGATAGCTGGACCAACCCAAAAAAATTCTTCAAAAATATTAATAGTAAAAAGGTCCAGTCCGAGCATGTAGGCCCTTTACAAAATAATCTAGAGTGGGTGACTGGGGACAAAGAGAATGCATATTTATTTAATACCTTCTTCAGCTCTGTGTATACAAAGAAACATGGGGGAGCTCTCGTCCATAATGGCATGGTATTGACACAGCTCCA